AGTTATAAGCCAATGCTGTTTAAGATAAACAAACTGAAAAATGAAGGTATTAATTTGAACTGCTTTTTGAGGCGTGACATGTGTTGTGCGGTGACTTCGTCGAAGAATGTTGTTAAATCGATATCAAAAAAGTTTGTGTCCATCTCTTTGAAACCATCCGAGGAAGTTAAGTCTTTAAGTAACTCCCTTGTATCGTAGTCGACAAAATTAAGAAAATCGTTAAAAGTTGGTGTGTCTTTGTAAAAGCCGTATTTGAGCCGTCCAGTGTCAGAGAAAAACTCTTTCAAAAATTTGAGGGAATTGTGGACTAAATTTGGAACGCCACGAAAGGTCTTTGTTGAAATGGTTGGGTCTCGAAGTTCAGGGAGTTCTTCAGAGCATGAACTTTTTACTGAGCGAGGTGAAACTGGTTGTGATATAGGAGACATCGACCCTTCCTTCAGTTTTTCTTTTGACTCACGAGAAAACCCCGCAAAGCGTTTTGTCTTCTTTGGTTTTGGTGTTTCAGTATCCATGCAATAGCAATTCGAGTTTACAAACTTTTAGAAAAAAATGCAGAATTATTCGAATTTTTGATTTTCTTGAAATGTTTTTTGTTATCCAACAAGGCGTTAAATATTTTAACTCGTTTTTGAAACACTCAGTCTTATTTTCCATAAGTACAGTCAAGATAAAAAGTCGGATGCTGAGAAAAAGGCGGATGCTAATCTAAATATAAATTTGTTTTGGTGTTTTTCATTTTATTAATTATTTTAATGATTATTTATATTAAAATTTATAGTAATTATATAAATAGTAATATAAGTGGGATGCGGGTCTTAAATTAAAACTAAATATTTACTATATTTTATTTAAATATTTTAACAAACTAATAAATGAAGTTGAAACTCAGAACTGTTATTATCAAATTGAACAACAATATCACCCGTTTGTGCTTTTAAAGAGATTATTCAAGTGTTGGGTCTATTTTATTAATGAAAGATATATTCAATTATACATCCACATCAACTAAAACATAGAACAGAGAAAGTGGAGGGAAAATGATAGTATTACATGAGAATAATGGAAGTAAAAGAACTCAATTGACGCTTCTACAAACTTATAAAATATGATTTGTTTGGAAGAGGCGGTATGGTTTTAAAATTCAAGGTGATGTCCAAGCTTACTTCTCCAAATCATTCCAAAATATAAATTCACACCGTTTCCATTGTGGAATGGTGTTGTGTGTTGACTACAGACTAAATGATTGTTTAAACTTGTTTTATTTCTTACTACTTTTTATTTAGCATAACAGCCGATAGTTTTTTATGTCTGCTTATATCAATGCATATAATTATTTATTCATTGTGCTATATGGTTATGATAGTATTGAAAATAAACATTAAACATATAACTTATAACGTCTTGGGAGAGTTGTCATTCGTCAAGTCAACATCAATATACATTTAAAAATTAATAAATAAGAATTTATCAAAAATGAAAGATATGAACAATTAACTGTTCAACAACAAAAACGAATGTTGTGATTTAATTTTTTTGTTATAATAATAAAAATACTATAAATCAATCAAACTTTTAGAAGTATTAAGAATATTCATTTTTTGTACATATTATTTTTTGTTTGAAAAATAACCAATAGTTGCGAGCATCTGACTTTTTCTTGCATCCCCTTATTTCCCCCTACTGTAAAGGGCAAAAAAGACATTTAATGTAGCTATATTTGTACTAAGTATTTGAGTAAAACCCAAAATTCAGTCTAAAAATCGGGAAATCTTGACTTTATTAAACATTTTCCCGTATTTTTAGAAGTTTATTATGAGCATATCATTACAAAAGCCAAACAGGGAAAAATACCAAATTTATTTTATATATCTCTGTAAAAACAGATCAATTTTAAACAAAGACATTACAGCAAAACCTCCCAAGAGAGGGCATTTTTTAGACTAAAACTAAAAACAGAGTTCTCTATCGAGTGGTAATTAAGGTTTGATTGGCTAAAAATGCCCGCTCTTGGGAGGTTTTACTGTATTTTAAGTGTTAATAAAAGAAATATCTATGTACATATAACAATTGAAACAACCTATTATAGTTTTAAAATTTAGATATTTATTATAACTATGAAATTAGAATTTTTTACTAAAAATTATTGTTTCAGTTCACAGCCAATTTAAAATTTTTTCATTTTTGTTTCAATTTAATTAAGTTTTTAAGGTTTTAATAGTAAAGTAAATAATTATACTTCATGTTATAATAATATGATAGATAATATAGTTTATAAATTTATATATGTCCCAATTTGTTTAAAAAGCAATAACTCAACAAGCTATACATCATTCACTTTAAGTTCAATAAATACCTCAACGAATGTTTTGATGTTTTCGATATACTTCAATACATATTTTAAAAGGTAGAAATATCAACACTGTATATCCAAATTTCCAAAATGATCTTCTATGGAAATGTATCTAGACTCGATATCGGTACAACACAAATTGCATTTTTTGTGGAAACTTTGGGTATACATTGTCGAGTCACTGTAATTCAGTCTTTTTGTAACTACTTTCCCAAGTCTTTGGATGTACATTTGACTTTTAATGTTGACAACAACACAACAATTACCAATTATTCATACTCTACATCCACAAGTAATGTCACATCACAATTAAAAGAAAAAGTTCAAGCCAACACAGAGTATCTAGACGGACAAAGTAGTGGGTTTACTTCATCTATTGTAGACAAATCGGATGACCTTTCTTTTTCAATAAGGTTGGCAAACATCAAATCAAAAGAACACTTCAATTTTTCATTAACATACCTAACACTTCTTGATGAAGAAAATGGTTTTCTTGTTGTAAAAATACCAGCATTTCCCTTTCAAAAAATTCCATTTACTTTGGCTATTACTGGAACGTCCCAATTGTCTACTTCTGGTGATTTGGACAAAAGTATCAAAATTCGGCTACCCTTTCCAACACCAGAAATTTCGTATTATGAAGATACAGACACTGACGAAGTTTATTGTTGTTCGACCTTTTATGCCCAAAATAGAGGTGGTGAAGCCAATGTCGTCTTTTTACTTGATAGAAGTGGAAGTATGGAAGGGGTGGGTATCACTGAAGCCATCAATGCATTAAGAATGTTTTTGAGGCAACTTCCCAACAATGCAAATTTTGATATCATTTCTTTTGGGTCTGATTATGTTCCACTTTTTGGAAAACTTGCAGAGTACAATGAAGACTCATTCAAAGAAGCAGATGCAAAAATTCAAAAATTTGAAGCTGACTTGGGAGGGACAAACATGCTTGATCCTCTTCAATATGTACTTAAAAAGTATCCATCGAATTTGAACATTATCTGTTTGACAGATGGCTGTGTTGATCCTGATTATAATAAACCTTTAAAACAAACAATATTCGAGTTATCAAAAATTAACAAATTACATGGAGTTGCACTTGGTTCTAATTGTGATGATGAGTTTATAAGATTTATTGGGAAATGTGGGCATGGCATTTCAGTTGTCTCCAAGAACATCAAAAACATTAAAACAGAAATATCCAAAATTACTGATAAGATATTAAAAGGAGAAATCACCAATTGTACCATTGATTGGGAGACAAAAGGTCTTGTTATGCCGTCGTCTTTGCCCTTCTTTGTTGATCATGTCACCACTTGTATTCAAATGACTAAAGAAAACTTTGCTCTTCTTTCCACAAACTCTCAAAATGATTCACTTCACGTCAAAGTCGAAGCACAAACAACAAAGAATGGAACTTATCAACACGTGCACGCATCAGAAGTAACTTTTAATAACACCTTAACGTATAACCAAATCGTTATGAGCAATCAAACTCTTCGTGAAAGAGGGGATTTGGTTCGAGATATCTTTGGATCTTTTCTTATCAAAGAGACTGAATCATTTGCTTCAAAAAATGAGGTTATCAAAAATTCTTTAAAATATGGAATCTTGTCAATTTACACATCCTTTGTTGCAGTGGACAAAACAACGAAAGTTGAGGCATGTGATGTCAAGAAAATTGTCTTGTCACAAAATTATGAATATCAAGATGATGATGAAGGAAATCAACCGAACAAAGTGTTAAATCCCCAATATTTAAAACAATATGATGGTGCTTGTTATGAAGTTGCTCCACCAATGTACATTTACGTCAAACCAACAGTGGAAGAGGATAAAATATGTTATAAAGAGTTAGACAAGTCCAAAGTGTTTGACAGTATTATTTGTCTTCAAAACTATAGCGGTGCATTTGGTGGAGTTGAAAGTGTTGTACCTGATATTGCACAGATCAACAATTGGAGCACTCCTTTAGTTCAAACGTATTTTGTAATTGCATTTTTAAAGATGAGGTATTCAAACATGAAAATAGTTTGGAGACTTCTTGTTGAGAAAGCTGAAAAGTACATTGCAAGCAATTTAGTGGCGATATCCGATTCAGAAAGAAAGACCATTATTGAGGTTGTTAGAAAGATACATTTTGGCAAATAAGAAAAGCTCTTTTTAAAAGTTTTGTGTTTCAATTTTTTCAAAACAAACAGCAAACAATTTTTAATTCACAAATTAGTAAATATCCTCATATAACCTTTCATTTTTAACAATCTCTGTAAGTCGAATGCATTGCAAGAAGCACTCCTTTCCAAGTCGAGTAACACCATTTGGAATAACAACGTCTCTAAGAGAAATGCAGTTTTCAAAACACTTAGTTGATATCTCTTCAAGAGTGTATGGCATATTGACTATTTCCAAAGCAGAACAATTCACAAAACACTCATCCCCAATCGTTTTGACGCCATTTGGAATATCAAGTGTTTTAAGCGATGAACAATTTGCAAATGTGTTCTCTTCCAATGTTTGTATATGACACTCAAATTTAAGAAATGTCAAACCAGTACAATCAGAGAAGCAATAACTGCCAATATGGATGATGTTCTTAGATAGTATCACTCGTTCAAGAAAATAGCACTTTGAAAAGCAGTACTCTGCCAATGAAGTCAAATTGTCAGGAAGTTGGACTTCTTGTACTTCACATTGTGAAAAGCATGCAACATCAAGAGACTTCACGTTCTTTGGGATGTTGACACCAAATGCATTTCTGTCACTCTTCGTGTACGTCAAATTCTTGAAATCAAAACAGTTCTTCTTGTCTTCAGAAAAAGCGGAGTAAGAAGCCAAATACCACACAACTACTTTATAAAATTTGTGTTGTTCCTTTTCACTCAGTTCCATGTTTCTTTTGTTCTCAAGACGCTTTTTACGGTTTTTGGTATTTCTTGCTCTTTTAGAGTTGTTACATTTTGGACCACAGAACACGTCTGTGTGAATATTATTG